AATGGTTATTCGAGTAATGAATATTCGAAAAATTAGTCACCGTTTTTACACTAAAATTTGACTGACAGGTCAGTGTAACGTTATTAGACAACAATTATATTAATTATTTATTTAACTTAAACATAAAGGTTAGTCTTGTTGCACGATTTGTAACTAATAATAATAATAAAATGCATTTATGTACAATTTACTTTCATTAATGGTTAAACAGTGTACTTCGATCAATTTAAAAGTGAAAATGATAAAATTGTTTTGCCTATATTTATGTTGTCATTAAAAATCCATTGAAAAAGAATATGTAATTACATATTAACTATAATGTCAACAAAATCGACGTTATTTTTGAATAATAAAATTGCACAACATTCAATTGTAAATAAAATTAATATTTGAAAACTTACAAGTAACTTAATAAGTATAATATTTATATTGTTACAAAAATTATTTAATACATTCAACTAATAATAATGTCATACACATAGCTTATAAAATATATTACTGTCTAATTTTTAATTTTAAAATAGTTTTCCTGTGATTATATACGTATAACTGTGTGATTTTCCATGAAAATACGAAACATTAATACAGGGACATCGTAGAGGTGAGTCATTTTAAAATCAGATTACGGCGTATGTAATATGTATATATATATATATGACATAGAATCAAACGAATATCTATAACAGTGTATTTCAGATATAATACCTACCTATACTTAGTATAAATAATTTTTGATAATACGTAATATTGCATAACAGCAATATTATTATGTAGATCGCCGTCAAGATGAAGTAGGTAGATATTTGCTATATTCGCTATAGTCGTGAAAAGACCCGCAGGGTAGTATCGCAACTATAACGTAAACGCAATAGTAATTATTGGCCTATGCGTCATAATTCAATTTAGCTTTTTCCTGTATTATTTTCTGTCGAATGGTACATAAAATCAACGTAAGACCTTTATATTTTTTGCACAACGGTTTTACTATAAAATACTATTACCTACATGGTAACTAAAAAACTGTAACTATCTGGTACGGCATATTAGTGGATGATTAACACATAACGGGGGGATACGAGAAAACGTTGATATTTTTGATTATACAAGACATTTGTTTTACCGAGTACAATCCAACGTTAATTGAAATGAAACATATTTAACTTTACCGATGACCTGCAGGTAGCAATATACGAAGCGAGCGATGAAACGAGATTACTTCGATACACGTATGTAGCAAACCAAAAGATTATTATTAAAATAATCAAAAATAGTTATATTTTGGTACTCCGTAATATGTTAGAATGTAAGATAAAACATGCGTTTGATATATATTATATATTCTAAATTATGTTAAAATGATTGTTTCTTCATTTTGTTGTTCTCTATTTAAACTTAAAAACTATTAGACCGTTTTCAATAAAAGTTATATCAAAAGATTCCATGAGACTCAAAAGGATTTGTAATTTTGCATTCAACCCATATAAGTTGCTATAGGATAGTTTATACCTGTACTTAATTTTTGTTTTGGTTCATGAAAATCAAACACATTTTTTTAAAATTTAGAGTGATAAATGTATTTATTTTACAATGACATGTGTTTATTTTTCAGTCATCACTTTTTGTCTTTTGAGACAGTAAAAATGCTTTAATTTTCAAAAATGGGGAAAGTTCCAGTTAGAAAATTGGATCTAATTGATACTTTAGAAAGTGGAAAATAAAAATTTCAAAAATTAAATTTTATAATTGGGAAAAATAAGAAATAAATTAAGAAAAGACATGAATTCTTATGAAAATCCAACATTTGTGTTTTTGGTGTAACTTAAAACCAAAAAACCGTAGATAATAATATTTTCTATTTACGATAAAAATTTTCAAAATATTAAAACTTTTTTGAATTATTTATAGGTATGGGAAATTTTTAATTTTTTCAGTTTATTATTTTTATAAATATCGATTCATAATTATTCACAGGGTAAAAATGCTTGAACATTAAACACAAATCTTTATATAAGTTTTTAATTTTTGAACTAAGGAATATTGATAATTTATATTCACTATTAATATTCGTTTTAGTCGTTTTAAGTTAAAATTTTGTCTAAATTCATAAAAAATTAACAAATTATTTTGCAGTTATAGAAATTTACAAAAATGTTTATTTTTATTCCTAAAATTTTAAAATTTAACAAAAGATTTTTGATAATTTTTTCTACTTAAATATAAAAAAATCTAGCGGAAAGCCAAATTAATTTTTTATGAGCATTTCAAGTTCAAATTTTACCACACTCAATATTCATCCGTAAAATAATTATTTTTCCTCAAACAAGTTTTGATATTTTTTGTATGTATAAAAAGAAAATAACAGTAAAACTAAAAATTTTTATTAAATTTCTTAATTATTATTTTCATTATATAATACAATTTTCAGAATTTTTTAAGCTTATATAGGTATTAAGACATGACAATTTTTTAATTTTTAGGAAAATTTCGTTCAATATCGAATTAAACATACTCGTGATAATAAATATATTTTGCATTTAATTGTATACCACTTGTGAGATACTATTTTAACACTGGTAACTCGATTGTTGAAGTCTTGTCCACTATTTTAAGCATTTGGTTAGTATTTATTTTGTAATTTGTTTCTAAAAAATTATCAGTCATTGGAGGTTTCCGCTCTTTAAATATGACCATTAGTAGAGGTTTCACTGTTTATTACGTATATTATTATATTCTATAAAATACATGATCATAAATGCGTGATTGTCTAAGAAAACTCAACTTTTACCGTGAGAAATCGTATGTAGCTAATAATAAACTTTTTTTTTTACTTACTGTACATGCCAACAATACCTATATTACATATTACGTATTATGTATACATTATACAAGTTTTATGTTATTATAATTTATAGATAGTGCTAAATCGTCAGTTGAAAACTAAACACATAAGGTGGATTTGTAAAGTACTGCGACCCCAGAGAACCTCTGAATCATCAGTCAATCGCGATGTTTTAATTTATGCCGCGGACGTCATCGAAACAAATTATATTTCTATAGTAACATTATTGTCGTCTGTAGACAAGTTCAAACACAGTGAATATCTCTGCTGTAGAGACTAGATCCGACGACCGACGTGTACAAAATATTATTATTGTGGTACCGTATGTGCCGTTGAACAATGTGTTTGAGGTGCTACCTATATATGATATAAAAACGAAAAATTAATATAACGTAACGACGCTTGAAATATGTGAACAAAGAACTGAGTGCGTATACAACAATGAAACGATGTTAAATGAACTTTACAGCACGGTGTGCAAACCCGTTACAAGTCTAAACGCCATCCCGGGGCAATCGATATCATACATCTATAATATATACTGCCCGTACGGTATTATTATATGGTTATAAATGCTATTGTGTGCCACACAGTGTTACAAAAATCATAATCAAAGGTGTGGTAAATAAACGATAATACGTTTACGCCGGTTACATTATGTTATTAATCATTATTATAATATTATTGTGTTTTCTGTAATTAAGTTTATATAGCTCTTGGAGATCTTGGACAATATTAATTGGTCAAGACAAATATAATAAAACGTATTTTATTTAATAATTATGAATATTTATGATATTTGATGTAACATTTATTATTGAATATAAGAAATTATAAGTAACATATTACAGTCACTACTAGAATATGATAATATTACTTTTATTATTAGTGGAAATATTATTATACCATTAATGTAACCTCTTCGACTTACTCCAACAGCCTGCTATTCACTTGTACTTGGTTTTATTTGTAAGAATATCTAGTTTTAATATTAAATTTTAACGTAAAATATAGTTCAATAACTACAGTAATACGTAATAACTATTTATTTTGTATAAATATATTTTGTCTTAATATAAAAAAATATACATAATATCAAAACTATTAAGGAAACTAACAAAAAATATTATTTTGAGGGGCTTAGGTAATATAAGCCTCATATATCTACATATGGTGTTAAGTAAAGCATGAAATTTTCCACCAAAAATAAAAAAGATACGATTTTGTTTCTGCTAATTATTATTTGAGAACTGAATACAAACGTATATCAGCCACGTATTCACATAAGTACCTACACTAAAATCAGAAAATTGTTAGCCATTATATTGCACGACATATATCTATTACATTTAAATATTTCAAAATATCATAGCAAATATAATACAAGTCTTAAAGATTCCAAAGTCATATAATGCAATAAATTAAGTTAAGTATTTTAAAAAGTTACATAAATCGTATTATATACAATATAATTCCGGTGATTTGGACTATAGGTACTGTAAAAGTTTAATTGTTATATCTCATCTAATATTATTTTTTTATACCTTTTACTAATTACTTATAATAACTGCGATGTACTACGTCAGAAAATTAAAATGATATATTAGCAGAAACGTCCTATGATGGAAACAGAAATCGTACTATTTTCATTTTTGAAAAAAAGGGCTGTGGTCAATATCATTTTGGCGAAAACAAGTCACACCCTGTTAGGTATGACGACAACTACTGCGCGGTGTTCTGAAAGTTACATGTTTTTCGTGGAGATATCAACACAATGATCTAATGGATACATATAACATGATACTGATCTACCGGTTTCGATAGGACATTATACCTAATCCATACGAGTTCACATTGCTAACGTTAAACATTTATATAGGTACCTATACGTATCTAATGTCCGTGTTGCGTAAACAACTTTGGACGTGTCGCGTGATGGTTACGCGATCGCGGAGGAGGTGCAAGCTGGATGCAGCGCGTTAGAGATTCGCTCGATCTGCTGGAGATTTGGCAGGAGTAATACCCGTAAACGATAAACGATGTATCTACGATGGCAATGACGATATTACGGTTGCTGCGTCGATGGTGTGTGCGAGAACGGTGGTTTTGGCCCCGCGACTACGCGACGGCGGGGGAAAGTTATAAAACCCACTTGACGCCCGTTCGTCCGGTCAGTGTATGCCACTGAATAAGACGATTGTTTAAGGACCATTCGCGGACCTCTCGCCGCAGTGCTGTAACGCGCGTATTATTTGCAGCAGAATTACTTATTAATATTATTTTTGATTTTTCTACACAGTTTAAAGACAAAAATATTTTAGAAAAGCGCGTTTTCACTCGAAGCACATAGGTATCATTTTCACGAATAGCACGGTACCGCTGACACGATGAAGTATACAACATACCTCTTGGTGAGTAAATCCATCATAATATTATAATGTACAAGAGTTTTAACGTCGGCTGTAAAACGATTTTCTTAGTTGCGTTTTGATATCGTATAAACTAATAATATAATATTATGATTTATAACCACTAAGTTATTATTCGAGTTGCGCCGCTGCGCTGAGTATGTAACTGGTATTTTAATATACCTATGATTAATTATTATTTTAATTTTAAATCGGTCAATCTTTAAATTAATAATATTAAAGCGTATGTCTTTTGAAGCATAAACATTTTTCCGAAAGAAACCAAAATTTCTATATTGAACATTAGTTATTTTTAGAAACGTATTTTAATATCATTAAATTACTTATTACTTATAACTTATTAGGTACTTAACCTAACCCGCAAAGTGATCACAGATGTATTGTGTACTATCTGTTTACGACTTTTTTCAGGTGATTTAATATTCTGTATACATCATGCTTTCAGTTTAATGTATTCTCTTTTTTTTTACTTCATTCTCATGCAATGTTATCGTATCCAGTACAAATATTATACATTATATTATACTTTAACTTGTCACTCGGTATATGTGTTGTTGTCGTGTGGATGATAAGAACTTGCTCGGTCGACTGAAAGAGACATAGTACAATAATAATGTATAATACCGCGCCGGAGATTAGAAACGACGACATGAGAATGAAAACAAATGGTTTTGTTTTCGATTCGACTCAAAAAATCGATAGGTACTACTTGCATTAGCTATACTTCCTCAGATGTCATATCTTATACGGACATGTAAGGCCTTGATATATCATCCACGTGTATCGCATTGTATGGATTCAGATTACTCCGCGAGGTTGTCAATTAGGTACATATTATCTGACCAGATAGTTACTCAGCATGTTCCTTTCATATCGTTTATTCGAAGCAAAGAATAATAATAATATCATCGTTACAAACCTTGAAATTAAAATGAAAATCTATTTATTTTTAATTTTTTTTCTCAACTGAGAGGAGACATTATATTATGAGTACGTGCTTTATTCTATACAAATCGTACGTTTATTATTACTATTATTTTTTTTCGAGTGCCCACCGGTCAACGGACCATTTTAAATTATTCGACCGTCATTGCGCAATAACGGGCCGACAACCGAAGGTACAATATTATAATATTATACGTTGTACGCGCGTGTAACTCAATATATGATATGATATACATTATATCGTATTAAAACATAGTATGTATTTAGAATTAATATTTTTTTGCAATAATATTATAACTTTCAACTTCTACTAATAATATTATTTTATATTATTATTATTTTTATTATTATAATCATCATTCTACTCTACTCGTACTGATTTCATAATAGTTGCGCACCTATACTTTGAATATGGGTAGTGGATACATATTGGAAAAATAATTGAATAATGTATAACACAATTTATTATTTTTTCGAAAACCGAATTAACGTAATATCGAACGTTTAATTGTCAACGGGCCGGAACACAATAATAAACACAATGTGCAAGTGAGCAACTTTCACTAATCGTTATCTAGGCTTATAATACTTTTTTTTTTTACGTTTACTATTATCTACGTGTGTCATCGCACACACACAACACACACATAGTTATACAACTACATAAATAATAATAGTAATAATAATAATAATAACGATAACGGTAATGATAATACGATAATAAAAATTATAATACATTACCAAACAACCATCCGTAACGATTCTGGTGCTATTCGGTCGAGCAGTCGACAGAATCGTCTTTTATGCGCTTATCCGTTTCTTACATACATTAGAGATGCATGATGTATTTTTACCGTTAAAATTGTAGATAAATAGTAAATGTTTCCGACTTTTTTTGTATTACTCAAAATAATATTAAGTGACTCCTTCAATTATTACTTTTATAGATTATTATTCGTATGATACTTTGACGATATTTTTAGTGGCTGTCATTGACACTAAAAATAAATTAGTTAACTGCTCGTCCTAAAACTGTTCAATGTTCAACCGTTACCTACTAACTTTATTAATGTATAATGCATCATTATTTTATTATGTTCAACAAAACTATATTAATTGTGATTCATGACTATATATTTCAAATATTCCGATGAAAGTTTTTTACTTTTTCTTACTGTTTTCATAATATATTGAGAGGTATCATTCACACCAATAGTTACAGCTATTTTATTACATTTTTAACAGTTTATCGAGATTTATTTTTACGCAAATTCTCCTCGTCTAATATTACAATAATGTACAAGGGATTTTCATAAAAACGATTTCGTCATGTAATACGGTCCGTTTTCTGATCGTTTGACCCGTGGCCCTCGGCGTATTTCTCAAAATTCACAAGTCTGACGCCTATATAGGTACATTATAATAGATCGTGACATCAATACTATATATATATACGGTGTCCTTGACGTTTCGCGTACGCGGGTCACACGCGGTTCACCGTGGGAATAATGTTCTCGTAGTTTGAACCGGCGTGGGTTTCCCGACACATATAATATTATATATAGTACAAAATTCTGTTATTACACGTGTAATATATAGGTGCTGTGATTTATAGCCTGCGAGTGTTATTATTATTATTACTATTGCGAGTAGGTTTTTTTTTCATCCTCTTGAGACATTGCGACACGTCTATAATAATAATAATAATAAAAATATCACTATTACGAGTTACGACGATCTATCGTAGTCCACTCTTGGGATAGCCACGTACATGAAAAGTCTTATGAGCCGCCGCACTAGCGTGCAGTGATAAGTTAGGACGAAATAAAAGGAATAAATGAAAACTCGCATCATAAAAATGAGATACATTATTGTCCGATTGTCGTACCGACAACTATGTATGGAAAAAAATCAAGTTAATGATAATAGGCAAATTTAATAAGTGATTATTATATAGGATTCTATAACTAATTAAGTATGGTTGGATTTCTATATAACCGATGAAATTATTGAAATTTAAAAAAATTATGTTATTCAATCCGTGTTGATGATTTTATTTTTTGACGGACACACGTTGTAAATACTTTCAGGAATAATAATATTATTCCTTATAATACGATTATTCTTTTATAATACCTACTATTTTATTCCTTATAAATATTTTGTAAATATGATTTCGTCTTCTCGCTCTTTAGAAATCACCTCATTTTACACAAAATTCTAATAATTCCTGCACTATAAACAATTACATCACTCTATCTATAAAAAAAAGCACAAGCTTACAACGTAGGTAAATGAACGCGCAGAGACGTTCTCGTAGTGAATATAATAAACCAATTCTTTCTAGAGAAATAAATAACTACCCTCTCCCCCCGGCCCGTCCCGTCTTATATCTTATATGGTTACAATAATATATTGTGTTAAGTACTAGTATTATCGTATTGATTTTAAACCAATTGAAAAAAATCAATTTATAAAAATTAACACTTTCGTATCAATAATTGTTGTCTACGGTTTTCACAGAGCGCGTTACTATTGGTAACGTTGTCATCGACGGATGTGGACAGTAAACGAGTGAACGTGAGACCGGCGGCGGACGACGGCGAACAAGACGACGCGCAACAGGCCATCGCCGACGGAGAAGTGCAACAGCAACAGTTCAAGCCGGTGTTGGTCGCACGCAGGCCGCTGCAGCACAGGCCACAGGTGGACGTCGAAACCGAACGACAACCGGTGGTGGTGGTCCGACAATCGCCCAGGGTGCTGCAACAACGGCCCCGTGAACAGCCAGAGGTCGCCGATGACGAAGACGCCGAACAGCCGCAAGTGATCATCAGACAGCCGACGAAAGCGGGTCTGAGGGCCCAGCCACCGCAAGCGCAGCAGCTCGTGCAACAGCGGCTCAAGCAACAGGAACAACCGCCGCAACAGAAAGAACCGACCGCACAGACCATCAGGAATTTCAATAAGCTCAACGATGACGGTTCTTTCACGTTCGGCTACGAAGCGGACGACGGCAGCTTCAAAGAGGAGACCAGGGGCACGGACTGCGTGGTCAGGGGCAAGTACGGTTACGTGGACCCGGACGGCAACAAACGTGAATTCACGTACGTGCAGGGCAACCCGTGCGACCCGAACGCGACCACTGCTGAGGACGAAGAAGAACAGCCGGGCAAACCGGGAGAGGAGGAGAACGTTCCGGCCAACATTCCGGTGAACGCGGGCAGGCCCAAACCCAAGAACAGCAGGCCGACCACTACGTTGTTCCAGCAGACGTTTGGCGATTTCGAATCGCAGCCACAGCCACAACCGTCCGCCACGCCGCGCCAACCGAGTAGACAGCAGCTGGAGCAACCGGCATTCCAAGAAACTCCCAGGAGACCACCCCCACAGATATCGCCGGTACAGCTTCAGGCCGACCGACCGTCGTCCACGGCCGCGCCGCCACAGTTCCTGCCCGCCGCCGGAAACCTGGAGTCGGCCATTCGGAACCTGCCACAACCGGCGCTGACGTCCGGCAAGATCCAGTCCCCCGCCGGGCCTAATTCGCCTCTGTACACCACCGAACTGGTTTTCGACCCGGCCACCGGTCAGTACAACACGGTCATATTCCAGCAAGTGCCCAAACAGCAGGCCGGCATCAACATCAATCAACGTTTGCCCCTGCAGGGAGCTGATCCGGCTAGACAACAGCAGCCTCTGCCTGTGCAGCAGTTCCGACCGCAAGCCCCGCCGCAGTTCCAACAACCACAACCGCAGTTCCGGCCCGCCGTCCCATCGTTTCAGCCGCAGTTCCAGTCACAGAGACCGATCGAGTTCGACTTCCAGCGACCTGCCGCCGGATTCGCTGCAGCTCCGGGCCCGCAACAACAGTTGGTCCAGCAGCAACAGGCCATGGCGTTCCAACAGTCGCAAAACCTGTTCAGACAACAGCAACAGAAACAACAACTGCAGCAGCAGCAACAACAATCGTTCCAACCGCAGTCGTCGCAGTTCTTCCCGCCGCCGTCGCAGCGTTTCGAACCGGCGTCACAGTTCGCGTCCAAGCAGCCACAGAGGTTCGAACAGCAACCGGAAGCGCATCAACAACAGTTCGTTTTAGTCCAGCCCGGCCGAACGCCCGGACAACAGAGCTTGGCCGCTGGCCAGATCGACGCGTTTCTAAGAGGCCACAACGTGCAATTCTAAACAGAATAATTTAATTATATTTTCATTTGTAAATAAAACAATATAATATAATGACAGAGACGCCAAGTACAGCGACCTGTGCTATAAATTGACGCTATACTAAATAGGTATTATAATATTAATAATAAAATAATATTATTTAGGTTTAAGCTTAATTAATAATGTGTAACGCGTTACATAGGCATCATATATATATATATATTATTAATTTTGTACGTAGGAACGATAAGGATATTCACACCCGTTTAGCTAAGCGGTTTCACCTGACGGAGGTGAAAGCCATAATTTACTGTATATTTAGCACTTTGCTAAATGCTATTATTATTTTTTTTTTTTTTTGTAACATTAAATCCTCGTAAAATATAATAATATTATATTTAGTGTTCCAAAAACAAAATGTGCTCAAATACTCCCAATATTTGTAAATAAAAAAACTTTTATACATTATGTATTACTATTATTATTATTATATATTATGTATAATTTTTTTTTTTTTAATAACGAATATAAGTTATGTGAGAAAAAACGACAGTTGTTTTCACTTTCTGTTTAGATATTACATACATATACAAAAATATGTATCACTTTCATGTATAATATGTATCATTTCCGCACCAAATCCAGTTTGCTCTATATGATGTAACCGGGTTTCTTGGAGCTTTAATTATTGATATTTGACCCAAATCTCATTCCATAACCGATGTTCGGGTATAACAGGCGCGGTGACCATAAGTTGTTGTTATTCGTTAGTTATTACGTTGCCCAACGGGCATGGGCAATAAATAATAACATTATTATGACACAATCTTCACATAGAAGCACTCAACGAGTTTGATGTTTACTTTTTTTTTTTTACCGATCATAACCTATCATACACCAAAACAGAACAAAGATGTCACTACCATAAGATAAATAATAATATGATGGCTCGGTGAAGGTTAAAAAAAAATATCTAACATTATGAATATAGCTATCAATTTATTGAATATAATAATAATATTATATAACATATATACGTATTACGTTCGAGTGTTGTTGAACGGAGTTACTCAGTCGGAGCAACAAAATAACAATGAAAGCAAAAGCTATTAGAATAAGAATACTGACACGATTTACCTCTTGGATATTATAATAAAATTACCGTCACCGTAAGTATAGCAAACATGGGTAATACGCAATATTAAACATAAAAATAAATCGATTATTGGAGATACTTCAATTTATTTATTTTATTACACGTAATTAAGAAATTTACGATTTTAAATTAATAATTTAAACTTTTGCACAATATTAATTATAATATGTATTTCCAATGCCAATTATCAAATAATTATTTTAATACTATTTTCGTACAATATTTCTACTTTATATTCTACATACATTTTTTTTTCGTTATTGAAACACGTATATTTTATTTTAAACGTGAATCAATGTGAAAATCACAATTTATACTTACTGATGAGTATACTCTATAACAATAAAAATGTAAGGAAAAACATTTAAAAGGAATACAGTGACTGGATATTGATTTTAGAGAAATTATTATTTTAATAGCATATCTAAATCCAAACCTATAGTTAATATACTAACCATTTTAAACTTTATAAATCGATTTTGATTGGAAATTAAATTTACAGTATATTTTATATAATTTTCATGTGTTCATAAAAATAAAGTAGAGATTGAAATTGATTTTAATACAGTTGTACATTAATATAATATTTAATAACTATAAAAAATTAAATAGGTATATTTACATAAAAAATACAAATGCAAAACCATAATTTAAAATTAAAGTAATAATACATAATAAATATCCATCCAATTTTGAAAAGATGCAACCGTCCTATTTTATATCCTTGACAAGTGGTATTTTTAAATAAGTTTGCAATCTCACTCTCTATTTTGACGAACATAGAATAATAATACAGTTGTTGAAATGGCATTTTCTATTAAGCTATTTGGATGCAACATAATTTTACCATTTCTTCTATCCTAAAGCCATATACACAATATACAATGAAACGTTTTAAATTTAAACAACTAATAATAGAAACTTTTAGTAACTAAAAATATTAAATAATAGAGGTTAGGTTTTTTCAACTAAAAATTTTATTCAATTAATTATTATGATATCAATAAAAAAATGTTTTGTTTTATTTATTTGAGTCAAAAAATAAAATAAAATTATTTTTATTTAAACAGTAAATGTTTTTTTTTTTTTTTTCTATAACTTGAGCAATTTTTTTGTTCTCTGAAATCATACTATATTTTCAAATATAATTATCATGTACGCTTAAAAATTAAAATTAAAAATATATTTCAGAATATCCAGAAATCCATTTTGATTATATTTTATTTAATTTACACAATGTTATTCTATTATTTAATAACAAATTTTCAATCAAAATATTAATGTAAACTTTCTAAACCATTAATGGGGTTTTTGAAACATCAAAAAATTATATTTAATACTATTTAAAGTCACCGTATAGTAAATTGTCTTACTCAAATAAATTACTTAACAGCAATTATTGTAACACTGTATACGTTTGTTAATTTTTAATATCAAAAATATATTATATTATTTTTAAAAGCTCCCAAAATTATTTAAATTTTTTTTTTTTTTTGAAAATATAGTTAATTATACAGTAATTTATAAGCCTATAATTTTTATTAAAAACAAAATAATTTTCTATGAATTTTGATGTATGGAATATTTTATTAGAAGAGAGTAGCACTCCAAATTAAATAAGAACAATACAATACACTTACAAAAAAATATTCAAAATAATGAGAGTTTTATGTTCATTATAAAAAAATTATTCTATATTATTACACTATTTATATTATATTATTATATTTATGTATATAATTTTTCATATTTATTTAACTTTTTAACTCAATCTACTACACAAACACTACAATCAAACTTTTTAACTCAAAACTGAGATTGATTAGAGTGATAGTGAGTGAGTGATTGCGACAACCCAACAACGTAATTCGATTTCCTTGTTAACATAATAATTATTATTTTCTGTAATTAAAAAGCAAAATTCTTCGCTTTAATCATTATTATAAATAGTGTTATACAAAATAAATTCTGAAATGAAAAAACTTGTGTATTGCAGATCGACTAAATATTTTTTGAAATTACCAATCCTTCGATTTTAGACACCAGCTATTTATAAGTATATATGATAAATTTATACTACTTTAAGTCAACTCATCTTATTTTATGCAATCAATTATAGTTCATTGATAGACAACTGAGACAACAGTACCTAAATAAGTGTATTAAGTAAACAAAAATATTATTAATTAAACAAATATTACAAATTAAATTCTTGGTATGTACTGATGGTAATATTGTATTCTCGTAAGTATTTTTTTTATTTTTTATTAAAACCGTATTTTACTATTACTTTTTCTCCAACTAGTGGATTTACTAAATAACATTTTATAATATTAACATATATAGAAAAACCTTCGTTTCATTGTTTATACAAAATAACGATGATGTCATTAGTAAGCGGATATATATATATATGTAATTACTGAAATTAATTTACGATAGAAATTATACCCATGATAGTAATTTTGACGTATAAGTATAATATACATATAGTTTTTAAAAATCTAAATTTCAAAGGTAAACATTAACTTCAAGAATGCACGATTAATGATTGTGTAAATACATACAAATTAACACTAAAAATAGATATTATATGAGTTTTTACGAATCAATTATAATTTTCTAAAAAACATACAGATATTTAATATACCTCTTGTATAAACCATAAGAGTTTGTTAATTTTTTCTTTTTTTTTGAAATAACACTAAATTTGTGTTTTCAAACAAATTTTTGTGATATTAACGATACAAATGAATGCAGCCAATGATTGAAATTTATTATAACTGATATAATATAAACTAGTATTTTGATTATTAAGCTATTATTATATACTAAACTGATTTAATATTTATTTATCACATTTGATATTTATACGTAGATTATTCCCATTGATAGCCTGAATATAAACTTCTGTTTATTCAGTTTGCCGGTGTACCGTAAAAGTTACGTAAAAAATTGTATATATAGGTATATAGTATAATAATTGAACCAGTTTTCAATAAGTAAGCAGGACACACCCATTTGTATATGGAATGAGGATATTCGATAACCGTTCATCTGGGTTATCTCAGCTTTCTCCGCCTCATGCTTCGGAAGTTGACAGAATGCGACCAAATAATAAAAATCTAGTATGGTCACTCCGATAATATAATTATTATAGTATAGACGAGATCGATGCGGCGTGTGCTGATTATATCAAACAAAAATATAGATCAAAATTCGGGCTATATGCCATAATATACTAATCGTTAACTTATGCCATATAGGTATAGCCGGTTTGATATGAAAGACTATAAATTTTGTTATATATTATTTTGTGCTAAAAACATATAAAACAACTTAAAAAATGTATATTCTACCCTATTTATTATGTTTTGTATGTTTCATACACTTATTTTAGTACACACCATTTGACGAAATCTTTTGCGACAATTTAAACTACTTCGTCACGATTTTATTAGTAATATACTAAAATATTGCTTATTTAAAATTAACTATCAAAAATATTATACTAAATTGACAAATTTAACAAAAAAAGACACTTCTGCAATCCTTATGAAAACTTTCAGTAACCCTTTTTTTTAATTATCACTGATTTTTTTTCAGAAAAGCTACTCTAGAATATAGATCCAATAAAACTATAGTAATAAAACAAAATTAATTTCAATAGTAAACGTTTATACACAAATTTAAGAAACTATTTTAGTATTTTATAAATAAAAAATTATATCACTAGTTTCAAAGCATTAATAATTTATTATCATAAAATAATTTATCATTATTTCGTAAACATATGATATACACTATGATGTAATTATTAAAATACTTAATGTATAAATAAAATATAAAATATTTGTATGTGAAAAACGTAATCTTCATAAAAAAATAAATAGGTACCAAGGTTTTATCACTATACTAATAACTAATTGTCTAAACAATTTTGTCATATTGAGTGCTGCGTTCCAAATTTAAAACAGTTAAGTCCTTGATAAGCTAATGATGTATTCAATATAGATCTTTACTTAATGTATCCCGAATTCGATTACTTCAGCATTTTATATTTTAATTATACTTAGATAGGTATTATAGGTACCTTATTCCGTTTGATACATATACTCGAGGTTTTATTTTAACAATATCTTCTCTGCAACAAGGAGGCTAGGTTATTAGATCATTAATTTTTTCTTATTTAGAACATTGTTATTTTTTTTAATCTATTGTTTTTT